GTGAGTCAGTGAGTCAGTCAGTCAGTCAGTGAGTGAGTGAGTGAGTGAGTCAGTCAGTCAGTCGGTGAGTGAGTGAGTGAGTGAGTGAGTGAGTGAGTGAGTGAGTGAGTGAGTGAGTCAGTCAGTCAGTCGCTCCCAGGAATAGCAAGATCTACATTGATCTCACATTCACCCCACCTTTAGTAACATTCGTTCAAATCAATAATTTATTCTCGCCACACAACACCATACCCCACCCCCTTCCTCTCCCCACAAAAACCCCAATTCCTTTTCTTCGATTAACTTGGGCATATTACCTTATCACTAAGAACACTATTCATAGCCGTATTTTCAGTCTGTTGCTTCTCCTGAAGATCTGCCAACAAACCCACAGCAACTTCATCATTGAGTTTATCTTCGGATACCCCTTTCTCAATCAACAACTGCTTGCAACTCTCGACTCGTAGCAACAGTGCATTGTGAAGTAGCTTGTTCTGGCGAGAACGAGCCTCGACAATACGAGCTGCGTATGTCTGCCTTTCCTCCTGTAAAGTATAAAAGGTTTATAAAATGACTGTTATATGACTGAGAAAGTCATGCGTGCTTTGTAGCGACCGTGATGTTTTCTAGAATTTTGATTGGGGGATTTTTTCTCGCGTAATGTGATTGGTCTGGCAGTGCCGTGACATTGGGGTGACCGTGACCACGCCAAGTTCCGTGTATTTCATTGGATGGAGAGTAAATTCTCGTTCAATGCGATTGGGCTGACGTATGCCTTGCGGTGTCACAACCGTGTTCGTACCGTATGCTTTTCACAGGCATACGTAAACTGCACAAAGAGAGCCTATAGTACGTGCGCACACTTTATATGTCCACATTCGTATCTAAAATAACGGCTATTCAGAAAATAAGTTTAAAAAAAAACTAGACTAAACTTAAGAGAAAACTAAATTGAAAAGGAAAACCGAAAGCGCTTTAAAACATCCGCCGAGATGATAGAAGACACTGCGATGACTTATAGCCAAAGGAGCAAGAAACGAGTCACCGTTCGTCGTGTTTCAGTTGTCCATTAACATAATTGATTCAATATGGCAGAGGAACCACAATGAAGGAGACGACTACTCAAACCTCTTGTTGCTGTTGTTCTGGTACTGCTTTCAGTGCATCCCTCATGCTGTCCATTCGCCAGTTCTGCCTGTCCTTGCCAATCTGCTGGATCTTGGCCTGTCTCTCCTCACTTGCTAGGTACCTTGCTGCGGCGACACCTTCTGTGTCTTCTTCTACACTTTGCAATAGGTCGTTTAGGATCTAGGAAAAAACACGAAACATGAGACTACAGTATACGTACATGCCTGTCTTAGTATAGACATTTATGGCTCCCTATTTCAGATCAATGTATGTGATCATTCCAAGCTGTCGTTGTTGTCGCTGTACACTGCTATATTGCTGCTACTGCTACTGCTACTGCTGCTGCTGCTGTTGCTAGTGTTAGTGCTAGTGCTAGTGCTAGTGCTACTGCTACTCCTGCTCCTAATGCATTTACCACTAACAGGTTTTGCAACCCAATTGATAAGGCAACTGATAGATCGAATTAGAATCTACTCCTACTACTGCTGTTGCTGCTGTGTTCATAATTGATGAAGCTGCTATTTCGGAATGAGATTTTTCGCAAATACATGCACTAGAATTTGTTTTCAATTATATTGATTTCAGCCAAATTTTAATAATATTAGTCTAACCTGTTGTTCAGATTTATGCTTCTGTTCTAACTCATTCAATATAGCCTCTTGAATCCCTGCAATCCCTCCTTGGTGAATATCAATGGCTTGCAGTTTATCTGATTCTAAATCTGCCTTTATCTCTTGTATCACAGCTTCCACACTTTCGTTTTTCTCGTCTTCTTCGCTCGCAGGTTTATTCTTAGCGGCCCGACGTGCTTTGAGTGCGGCAATACGTTCACGAGCAAGCTGTTCCTGCCGTGAACGATTCTCTTTATAGCTGCAAAGGAAGGACAAGACCGGTTGTTATATTAGTATAGGAAATCGCACGATCTTCTCGTACAATTTGGAAATTAATAGACACGAGTAATAGGCGAATGCAATTAAAGAACTTTCAAAACATTATGAGTGTCTATTAATTCCAAATTGTACGAGAAGATCGTGCGATTTTTTGTTTATAGTTCACTCAACAAAATTTCAGTAAAAAATGCGAAGCGACGCCGTTCATCTTTGTCTATTTGGCGGCCGATTTTCAGTCCATCGCGCAACTGAAATGCATAAAAAACATTAGTTCTTACGGCTTTAATATTTTATTTATATGTTTTTTAAGTACAAAATGATAGAAAATATTTATTTTGACATTGTTTTGGCCGTGTTGCCATATCGACTTAATTTGGTACTCCTACGGAGTACAATTAACGCTATAATTGTACTCCTCTCGACCAATCAGAGTCGAGTAATTTTGTTGAGTGTACTATAAAAGCAAATAAAAAACATTTTCGATATTTCCAATGTGGAAACGTAAGGAAAAGCATCGTGTATTGACCATTTTAGTTTTGGGCTTAATGTATTTCAGACAATGCGTCATTTTCTTGTGAATAAGATTCTTTGTTTGAGTTGTATCCAATCACGATTTAGAGTGAAAACTTGAGCCAATCAGGGAAGAGCATAGTGACCTCGGCCAATCACATCCTAAACCAAATTGGCGTAAAGTTTTCCAAATTCAAACTACGTGTCATTCTCTTGAAAATAATATTCTTTGTTTGAGTTGTCTTCTTATGCGCGACCGTTAAACAAAGAAATAATACTCTAGGGAATGAGATGTGGTCTGAAATGGGGAAACCTTTACAACCAAGTTAAAGAGGTTTGTTAGTCTACACGTATGTCCTGTCAAGGAAACCCTTCACCCACCTCGAATCTAATGCATCTTTCTGTTTCTTCGCCATGCTCAACAACAGCACAGCAGTATCAACGTTATCTTCTAGCTTCAGTTTCTTCTGTTCACGTCGAAGCTTCGCAAGCTCAAGTTGTCTCGTCCTCTCGTTACGGAAACGTTCGTCTTGTCCACGTAACGCTGCAAGGAGCGCTTCTTTCTCCTCTTCATAACGAGACTGGAACAATGGAAAGGACTTTTAGAAACGATGTTCTTAGGGTAAAAGTATAAGCATTTGGGTCTCATGTCATCGATTTTTTTGCTTAACCAACATCAGTCAATCATCATCATCATCATCATCATCCTTAATCATCCCCATCCCCATCCCAAAGTAAAGTATAAGCATTAGAGTCTCATGTCAGCGGTTTTTTGTTTAATCAACACCAATCATTATCATCATCATCATCATCGTCGTCATCACAATCCCCCTTTCCATCCCAATTCCCATCACCATCATCACCATCATCACCATCCTCAACATCATCAACATCATCACTATAATCACCACCATTTCCACTTTAGCTTCTACATGTTCCATTTTCTTAACCTGACAATGATTATGCAATTTAGTGTATCTTATATAATGACAATGACTCAGCTTCTTTTTGTAAACGAGAGGACATAAAGGGCACCCTCCGTAGCTAACCTGCAAGTCGTGTGCCAAGTTAGCAGTAGTAGCTTCATCACTCTCGACTAACGCCTGATCAGTGATGCTCTCTAGTACAGTACTATCCACAGCTTCTAAGCCCTGCTCTTCAATCAGTTCGAGATTTGCTAGTTCAGCTTCGTTTACTTCTTTACCAGCCTCTTTCATCTTTTTGAGCTTTTGGAGCCTTTCTTTTAGAATGTCTTGTTGGCGGGATTTGGATTGTCCCATCAGCGCGCGAAGACTTGCTTCGTTTTGGAGTCCTTCGCCAAATAACCTGATTTTAAAGTAAAGATTCTTAATCAAGAAAAAAAAGGGTACCATTAAAAAAAGTTACCATTATTATTTTTTTAAATATTTTTTCTTACAATATCGCTTCTAAGGACATCAGCCAATCCCTGATAGTGTGTGAACTAGATATGTCAAATGTATTATATGCTATAGGTTTTTCTGCATATCTAGATGTACTTTTATTCACTTGCTAAATCGAATGACGCAACGCAAATATAATACAATTATGTCAAGTCTATTCAGTCACAAAAAAAATTTAGAGACGCCTTGCCCCTATGTCACAAGCAGAGTTGAATATTAATTCTCAGTTTGCGAAATATATAATACTTGAAAACGATTATTGACATGGGTCTAAAAAAAAAAAAATCCGAGAGATTTTGCATCTTTTTTTTTTTTTTTGCACTTGATCGTAGATGTTAAAAGAGGCGTTTGCCATTGCACTTCGGGCTTACCTGCTTGCTTCGTCAAATTTCCCTTCCTCTCTTAACTTTTTCTCCTGTAATTTCAACCTCACGAGTTTCGCTTGTCTTTCTCTCTCCGACAAAGCAGCCCATTCTGCTTTACCCATTTGCTTCATCAAAGCGTCTGCCAACAGTTTGTCCTTTAGCGCATCATATTTCTCTTCCAAGGCCTCGACTAATTCCTCTTCAGTTGGCGCCTGCGCAGTAGAAGTGTTGAGTAATGACCTCTTGACCCCAAGTAATGCTGCTGCGATGTTGTCGTACCATTTTTGCTGCCTGGCAATGAGCTGGACTTGTTGGATCTGTTGGAGGGTTAATGGTGTCTGTGGAAAAAAGCAAAAGAAATAAAAAAATGCATTTGAAATTATAAAAAACTGTCTAAATAACGCGAATTGAAGAACAGCTGAATTGCGAATGCATTATTTGAATTTAACATAAATGGATAAAATGCGATGGATAACAATGTGTCATTGAATAGATAAGATTTTTTACTATTCTGAGTAACGGAAATAAAACAAGAAGGAAATCTAACAAAGATATTCCACAATTCCTTGCGATGTTTAAATTACAATTACTCCTTCGTTCCAACAAAATCAAGAATATGCGTGAATATCCCACCCACCTTCAAGCATGACGTACACCTGGATTTACCGCTGTGCACTCTAGTGGACAGCAGCTATTTTTAGCTACTCCATATCTCATTGTATATTCATGTGTAGTGTAGGTACTGAGAATATAGTACTATGTTCTATTAGCTTTCTGTCCTACGAAGACGCTGTTAGTGTCGTCAAGCAATGTTTCAACGTTCTCTAGGAGAAGGCGTTGCGTGACGACTTCAAGTGTGGCTACGCATGCGTATGACGCTAATATTGGCGGAAAATGGTATTTGAAGTACTAAGAGTGGATTTCAGGACTCACGGACGATAGTAATAGTACATTTACCTTCGATGCCAAATCCTGTAAGAGGAATTCTTGTTCCTGATCTTGTTGCTGCTGAAGATCTGCTAACAATGCCACCGCAACTTCTTCTTCAGTAGTTTCCCCAGTTTCTCCTTCCTGCTTCTTTTCAGCCAGCTTAATCTCGATCTGGAGTCCTGTGGCCTCTCTTAGATTAGCTTCTTCTTCATCAGCAGTCTCTGCCATCTCATCAGTACTAGAATCGCGCCACTGTTTGCGCAGTTGCTATAGAATTAGAGAATGGTTTTACGTGAGACACACACTTTACCCCTTTACTCCAGTTTTGAGTTCTCTGTTGTTCAGGGTTTGCCTCGATTTGTGCAGAATATCCACGTGTTCCAGTGAAGGTCCGTGAAATTTCAAAATGTTTGTATTGTTGAAGTTGTGCATTCTTTACCTTACCGTTAGTATTTGTGAATATTTAGACACTGATACGAGACTAACCCTGAGTAAATGAGTCTGTAATCAAGGAACACAGCGGTAATTTAGAACAAGAAAATTGTTTATTGCTATTTTCAATCAGCTGATCAAAGTCTTTCAAAGTCTTTTTTTAATAGGTAAAACCTAGAGTAGCGCACATTATATCACGTTACCTTGAGTTCAAACAGTCGATCCCTCATTTGTTCAAGGCTCAAATTCTTGGTCGCTTTGCGCATGGCACTGTCCTTTTCCTCGTTGAGCATAATCTCAAACGCTTCTCGTTCACAGGCGTGTTTTAATTCCATTTCTTTAACAGCAGCATTCTAGGATCAGACAACACGCAAAAAATGTTTTAAATTTTACTTACTATATTGTTTCTGATTGGCTGAGAACCTTCAGCCAATCCCTGATATTACGTGACCTCGACATTATAAATGTATTAACTGTAGGTATTTCTGCAGATAATACATTTGTTATGTCAAGTTCATTACGTAACGGCGGAGTTTGAGATACATTTGCTATGGACCAAATCCACTTAGGCGTAATGTTCTACCATTTCAGACCACGTGTCATTTCCACAAGATTCTTTCTTTCAGTGGTATCCATTATTCATGTTTCTTCTCGTGCGCAACCGTTAAACAAAGAAATGATACTCTAGCGAAGGACACTCGGTCTAAAATGGGAAAACATTACGACCAAGCTAAAAGGCTCCAATTCTCATGAGATTGGAATTCTTTTGTTTTGTCCCCCAGATGGAGCTGCTTTGACGTCACATGCAAGAGGTCTATTGTGTATGTATATCTAGCTAACCAAACATAACAATCACGAGTTATTCAATGAATTGTCGTTCTGAACTTTTCACTCAAGTTACCTGAAGAACAGCAACGTTGTTTGGGTCTGTCACTTCCACTGCATTCTCCATCTTCTCAGCATTCTTTAGTTTTTCTTTCTCCTTCTCGACGTCAGATTTGCTTCGATTTCGACGCGCTTCCAGCCTCTCACGGGCCAACATTCGCTGGCGTTCCTGATCGCGTTTCCTCCTGATTTGTTCAACATAAATTGTGTAAATAAATGAAAATACAAATAAAAGATAAACTTACATTTAAAAAATAACCAAGAGATCAGTAGTTGAACGTCATAAATTCAAATTTGATCTCGTGTCATGAGGATCGTTATAAATTCAAATTTGATCTCGGCTGCTTTATCAATTGGGTTGCAAAACTTGTTAGGCATTACGCCGTCCACCAGGAGTGGTAATGCATGAGACATTAGAAAAACTGCGCAAGCGCGCTGTTACTTTAAAAATACGCCAATCACATTGAAAGACCCGAGATCTCAGAGGTGAGAGGCGAGTGCACTACCACTACACCACCCTGCACTATACCACCCTTGCTATATTTGCTTGACATTCCTGCGCGTTTTTATTTGACCCAACATTAATACATATTAACAGCAAATATTTTAACTGACTTACACTTCTTCTAGATTTGCTTGCATAGTCTGTGCCAGGCCAAATACCATGGCTGCTCTATCAAACGTATCTTCTTGTCTAGCGCGCCGTTCATCTCGCCTGAGTCTTGCCAACTCAGCTTGACGCTCTCGTTCGCTCAGGAACCTTTGATCTGCACCACGAAGCCCAGCCAGTAAAGCTTCCTTCTCTTCTTCTAAGCGTTTCTGATAGACAAAACGAGGCAGGAAGCTTAGCACTCCAATTTACCGTTACTACATAAATTACTGATATCAGAGTTACTGATTTCAAACAATCGTTTTAAGTCGTGGCACTTGGGTCAGTTTCTATATATTTAACTTATTGGTCTCCCAAATGCATCGACCTGAAACAATTGTTTGAAGCCAATAGAGTGTACTCTGATATATACTATTTACATTGGAATAGGACTTGCACACTCATTCAAAATTTGACGCTTGGTCGTAAAATTTTCCCATTTCAGACCACGTGTCATACCCTTAATATCATTTCTTAAAGGTTTCATATGAGAAGACGCATGAATATGGATACAACTCAAACAAAGAATCTTATTCTTTAGAGAACGACATGTGGTCTGAAATGGGAAAATATTACGCCCAAGCTAAAAGGGTTATTCATTTGAAGGTATATAATTTCCTTGCTTAACATTTGCACATGAGAAGGATATGAATTGAATATTGGATATGGATACGAAGAATCATATTATCAAGAGAATGGCATGTGGTCTGAAATGGGAAAACATTACACCAAAGCTAAAGAGGTCTATACCCCAAAACCACTAAACAAAGAAATGATACTCTAGAGAATGACACGTGGTCTGAAATGAGAAAACATTATGCCCAAGGTAAAGAGGTCTATACCCCAAAACCATTAAACAATGAAATGATACTCTAGAGAATGACACGTGGGCTGGAATGAGAAAACATTGCGCCCAAGGTAAAGAGGTCTATACCCCAAAACCATTAAACAAAGAA